TGATGGCCCTGCCTGCCCTGTCGCAGCCACTGAGGCTGACCTGTTGTCCCTGCCTGTCCCCTGATGACTGGGCTTGAGTCAGGAGCAAGGTCACCTGTCTCTTCCAGCTAGGTCTCTGCGGCTCAGCTCTGGGCAGAACCCAGCAGAGGGCGATGGCACCTGTGTCCTGCTCTGCGATGAGTCACTGCGTCTGGCTGCGGCTCCTCTGCCTGCCTGCTCAGGTGCCAGCAAGGCAGGCAGCCAGGGCGGGCGTGTGTTTGCTCGCCTAGCGATCCTTGCAGGGCACTCAGCCCGAGGCCTCTGTGCGGAGGAAGGGGTGGAGGGCATGCCCGCTCTGCATGGGCAGAGGAGGAGACTTGAGCTTCACTCCGGCCTGGGCTCTGGCCACACCCCATGATGTCACCCTGGAGCCATCACAGCTGGGCACAGAGTAGGGCAGGGTGTGTGAAGGTGCAGGTGCAGCTGTCACCTGTCACCTGCCATGGGCTTTGCCACTCAGAGCCTGCAGGGAAGACCTGTCTGTGAAGAGGCCACCTGTCCCTGCAGCTAGGCTGGGTCAGGGGCTGCCTGCTCTGTGCCTGAGGGTGTCCCTGCTGCAGCTGCCACCCAGGGAGCAGGACACCTGTGTTGGGTGGAGAGTGGACTGCAGTGGGAAGGGCAGGCCCAGCACTCAGGAGGCTGAAGTAGGAGTCCATGCGTTTGAGGCTAGCCTGGGCTACAGTGAGACCCTGTCTCGAAAAATAATAATTATAATGATAGTAAAAGAAAAGACAAAGTGGATGGAAGAAGAGGTTGACATCTTGTCCAGCTTGCTTTAGGGTGTGGGCCCTTTCTGCATGCCCCTCAGGCCGAACCCTTCTGCGTTTGGGGCCGACAGTGCTGGGGGTTTCCTGCGACTGCCCTGCTTTGTTGGCCTTTCAGCCTCCTGGCAGAGTGCAGTGCTGTGCCAGGCACTGGGCCCCTGAGATTGCGGAGCCCAAGGGAAGGGCTCGAAGCGCTCATGGACAAAGGGCCCTGGGTGCAGGGTGGATGGGAGGCTGCGTCCTGGCAGGGGAGGCCAGGCAGCAGCAGGGGTCCCAGTGGGGGCGATGGAGATGGAACTGGGTACGGACAGGGAGCTGGCGTGGGAGACCTCCTGGTGCTAAGGTGGGGACAGCTGTCCAGGCTGCCCATGTGACATCAGAGCTCTGGTGTCACTGGCGTGGACAGCTGGCTCTAGAAGTCCTGCTTACCCGAGGGGTGACAGTGTGGTGTGGTGCAGGTGTGGCCAGGCACCTGGGCAGCACCAGCACACTGAGAGGCCCGGAGGGGTGGACAGGGAAGGTACATGGCTTTGGCAGCAGGGACAAGGCTGGAGACTGAGGCAGGGCAGTCTGGGGTAGGAGGTGGCAGGCTGAGGGGCCTGGGAGGGGACTCAGCTCTGGCTGAGTGTGTGACACCTGAGGCTATGCTGGGAGGGGCCCAAGTGGCCTGTGCTGGCCATGCCTTCCCTGTGACCAGGCGGCAGGGAGGCCCCCAGTCCTGCCACCCCAGGTGGCCCTGAGGACCCAGGGCTCAGGTCCTAGGTGTGGGATAACTCCCTCCAGCCTGGGTTCCTTGTGTGCAAACTGAGATCCTGGTTAGCCCAGGCCAGGGTGCTGGGGAGCCGCAGGCATTCGCAGCGGCCTCGCCCCACTGTGGGACGCTGGGCTCTGTGGCCGAGGGTTCTAGGCTGAGGCTCGTAGTTCTGAGCAGGGCTGGTGGGGACCATGCAGCCACAAGGCACCCCCGTAGCCCAGCACTTATCCTATCTCCTCTGTGCACCCCATGGCCCACAGGCCGGAGGTTCAGTGGGTGTCCACCTCCCACTTCCTGTGCACACAGCCAGGCAGCCTTTCTGGCCAACTTCACACCTAGGGGCCACAAGGAGCACTGTGCGAGGAGTCCTCGGCACAGGGAGGCCAAGGGCACCTGCCCGCTGGTAGCAGAGTCAGTGACTTCCCGGGCCAGGGCCACGCCTGTCCTGGTCCCCACAGTGCCCTGAGGTCAGGTCAACTGCGGAGGGAGCCCTTTCTGGGCAGGCGCCTTTGGAACTGCTGACGGCTTCCTGTGGGCCTCCTGACTGACAGACGACCAAACGGGCGGGCCACCATCCGGCCTAGGGCCATCCGTCGCCTGCCTGGGGCCTGTGTGCTCCCTGTCCTTGTTCCCAAGGAGCAATTCCTGCAGCCTAGGACTGCTGAAGCTCCAGCATCTTTGATCAGTTCTGGCGTTGGCAACCAAGGCACAAATAACAGACACTGGCCGCTGTTCTGGTCCCTTCTGGGCGTCTCTCCAGTGCCAGCCACAGGCTGCGCCAGGCTGGGTGGGACGCAGGAATGAGGGACCCTCAAGTGCGTGGGGGTGGCGGCCTTGCCAGCCTGGAACCCAGCGTCCAGGTGGGAGTGAGCATGGGAGGGTCGGGCACCTCCTGCCAGGCTGTCCCTGCACTGAGCAGAACCCAGAAGACTGACCCGCCAGCACTGGCGACAGCAGGAGCTCTCCTGCTGGTGCGTACAGAGGAAGGTGCTTCTCCTGCTGAGCCTCAGTTTCCCCTTTTGGAAGCCTGAGGCCTGCACACTGCCGACTTGCCCTCCAGCTGGAAGCCAGTCTCCTGGGCCCTAAAGACCCCGAGGACGATCTCTATGCAGTGCCACACAGCCTCATGGCACGGGGAGGAGCAGGGACGTGAGACACAGGCTCCCTGCTGCTCCAAAGACCCTGAGCTGGTGCGGGGTAGGCCAGCGTGGCAAGGCCATTTCTGAGTGAGCTGTCCCGTGTTGATCTGAGGCTGAGCTTCCTTCCAGCCCCCTCCACCCATGCCTATCCCCATACCCTGTGAAGTCCTGGGGGCACTGGCCATACCCACAGGGTCTCCTCACCTGCTCTGCCAGGGCCCAGTGGTGACAGCTTATGGTCAGCAAAGCCTGCCACACTGTCCCCGGTGTTTCCCAGCCCCGTCTCTGTGCTCTAGAAGGACTCAGGGCACAGCAGCCAGGGCTGATGGCCAGTGAGACGGAGCAGGATCCCACCCCTGGGGCCTCCGCCATCCTGAGAGCCACCTGCCATCAGGGTCTCTCGCAGATCCACCCTCAGGCCTCCAGTCACCTGAGTGGCTGCAGCCCTGTGTTCTGGGGCACGGCTGTCTGGGCTACAGCTAGACTTACGCTGTCCTGAGCTTTCCTGCCCCTGGGACACTCCCATGCCCCTCTTGGCCTAGATTTTCTCTCTGAGACTCAGGCCCGGAGCTTCTCCTTCCAGGGTGCCCTCAGAACCTCACCCCCTAGCAGCCTCTTCGCAGCCCTCTCTCGTCTCTGCACCCATCAGTGTGGTCATCCTTGTCTCCCCTGCTGGATGGGGGCCCAGAAGGCAGAGGTGGGACACTGAGGCCCCCACTCATGAGCAGCAGGTGCAGCTCTGAGCCTTGGCAAGTGCAGTTATTTCGAGGGTCCCTCGACATGTGAGCTGCACTCCAGCTGGTCCCCAGTAGGATGGCGTGGGCCCTCTCCGGCTGAAAGCCCACTCAGGTACAGCTCACCCTGCCCCAGAGAACTGAAAATTATCTAAAAATGACAAGATCAGAAACTGTGTTTTGAGCCAGGCCTGGTGGCACATGCCTGTACTCTCAGCTCCTGGCAACTCGGATGGCTGAGAAAGGCGGATGCAAGCTTGAGCCCAGCCTGGGCGGCTTAGTGAGCCTCTGTCTAGAGACAGCAGATAGAAAGGCCTGGAGGTGCAGCTCAGTGCTGAGTGCTTGTCCAGCCCACGAGAGTCTGGGGGAGGGGGGCACTGGCTTCTGCTACGTAGCTTAATGTACAGGGCCTGGGACCCGCGCGCTGCAAGGCCTGACATCCGAGTGCTGGGTGTGCAAGTGGATAAAGCTGCTGTGGAGACCCTGGCGACCACCCCTCCAGGCACAGCAACTTCCTGGACAGGGACGGTTGGAAATTACAACCATGTAGGTGTCAGATCTCGGTGCCCACATCTGGCATTGGCAAGAGGGGAAACTGAGGCCTGGTGCCGTGACCACCAGGGCTGGGTCGAGATGGCCCCTTGCAGCCAGGCCGGGTGGCTCTGCTGTGCTACTGGTAGCCCCAGGCCTTGAGGGTCCCTGCCCCTCCCTGGAAGCCAGAGAAGCCCTGAACAGGGTTGGGGGTCCTCTGGGGGTCCTCTGGGAAAGTCCCCTGGCCTGGGGCCAAGAGCAGCTGCAGAGATAAACAGGAAGCAGGGGCTCTGGGTCTGGCTGGCCGCAGGGAGGACAAAGGCCTGGACAGGAAGTGCCTCCGGACCCTGTGTGGACACAGAGCCCGCCCGTGGCTGGGTCACCGGCGCCTACGGCCTGATAGGCAGGGGGGGCAGGTGTCCTCAGGGTACCCTCCACCAGAGGGGGTGACCCACGTGCTGGCAGCGGCCATGGGCTGGGGACAGGCCAGTGCCCTCCCCAGGGCCTGCACAGCCAGGGCCCAGGCTTGGTTCCTGCTTCTCATCTGAGCCCACTGGACACCCCGTCCCTGCTCCCCCAGTGCACTGCCAAGTGTGTGGGGAGGCTCCTGCTCCTGACCCAGTTGCAGGCTGCAACCAGTGGGAGAGTAGAGGCTGGGGCTCCCCAGGCAGGAGGACTCTTCCTTCGACCAGTCCAGGGCTACACGTGTAGGTGGAGGGTGTTTCGTGTACATGTGAGCACACAGGGTGCCATCCTTGCGCATGTATGTGCAGGAGTAGAAGGGAACAGAGAGTAGAAGAGCTCAGCAGGGCCTGGCAGCTGACAGACAGTGACTTCCCCAATCTCTGCGCTGTGTGGGAGCTGGGTGTCCCCTGGCCTTTCCCGAGGTGCCCCGGGACTGACAGTGGGCAGGCTGGTCAGGGCCTGGCACCAGTCCAGCAGGCAGCTAATGATCAACCCACCGGGCCAGGAGTCTGTGCGGCCGGGCCGCCTTTCAACCCGGCCCCCAGGCGCAGAGGAAGTAGGGCAGGAAGCAGGGGCGGCTGTGCAGTCAGCCCGGCTGTAGGCGGCCCCTGTAGGCCCGGGCCAGCTGGAGACAGCCCCGAGGGCCAGACTGCCCTGCGCCGCCGAGCCGGGAGTGGCCACCTGGTGCCGCGTCCTCCGGCCTGGCGGGCCTGGGAAGTGACTCTGGGCAGCGGAGGGCAGGTATGACTTGGGGCAGGGGCTGGGTGGGAAGGGCGTGGACCCTCCCCGCAGGCTCCAGGATCTGAGGACGCTGGCTCTCACCTTTACTTTTCAGACTGAGTAGGGTGGGGTGGGGGTGGGGATGCCTGAGCAGGGAGCCATCAGCTGACACACAGCAAGAGCGTCCCAAAACCTGAGCCACCCAGTGGGTCCCCTGCTAGGTCACCAAAGGCACAGTGTCCATGTGTGGTCCACAGTGCAGCTGTGCCAAGACCGGCCACACCAAGGCCACCCTTGTTCTCTTTATTAATGGGTGCTTTCGAGACAGGACTTCACGGTGCAGCCCAGGCTGGCCTCCATCTCAAAGCCAATCTCCTGCCTCAGCCTTCTGAGAGCTGATATTACAGGCGTGTGTCACCACGCCCACGTGCCCTTAGTCTCTTCTGTGTGAATTTGTGGGCCCAGCCTCCCAATCCCTGTCCTCCCTGTCTGTCCAGGTGTCCTCTGCCCACTCCTGGGCCCGGGCTCCTCAGCCTGGCTGTGCCCCATGCCCCCTGTGTGAGGTGACATGGCCTCCTCCTCCACTGCTGCTGCCTGTCTCTCCTCACAAGGACACCAGACCCGGGGTGGGGGCCACCCTCCTCTAGCCCGGCCCCGTCATGACCGAATCTAACTTCTGAAAAAAAAAAAAAAAAAAAAAAAAAAAAAACTCTGAATTTATAGCACTAAAAAAAAAAAAAAAAAAAAAAAATCATCCCGCCCAGTTCCTGTTCTGAGATTCCCACTCACTGAGATTTAGCCCAGAGCTCCATGTTCCCGCTGCAGACTTGGATGGGCGAGCCAGCTTGGTGCACACCTTTGTAATTCTGGCTGTCAGGAAGCTGAGGCAGGAGGATCTGTGAGTTCTCCGCCAGCCTAGGCTCTACAGTGAGACCCTCCCTCAAAAAAGCGAAAGCAGAACCAAAACTCAGGCTGGCCATGGTGCTGGGCCTGGAGCCTGAGGCTAGCTTGGGCTTGCCTCTCCTAAGGCAGCCAGGAGGAAAGATAGTCTCTGTGGGGTGTCAGGGATCCCCTAGGCTCAGCAAGCTGACCCGGGGGTGCCAGATGCACCCAAGGCTGCAGTCCGTGTGGTGCCTGGCCCGGGAGGCAGGAGCCTTCTGCCTACGCAGCTGTGGGATGGAGCCCACTTCCTCACCTCCGAGTGGGGCACATGGGTGGTTGCAGCTGTTGGCAGAGCAGGTGGGGAAACCCTCTGCTTAGGAAGCCCCTGAGCTCCACTCTGTGGCTAGCCCGGGGGCCCTTCCAGAGCCAGCCAGGTCCTGCCCAGGAGCTGCTGTCCACCTGTGTGGCCGCAAAGAGAACACTGCCTGGCTCCTGCAGCACTCAGGGACCCCTGCGTGGGCAGCGGTTGGAGCAGTGCTTTCTGCGGATGCCTCCCTCCTGTGCACAAGGACACAGGATGCTTCCCTCTGGACAGCAAGGTGTGGGCTTCCAGTTCTTGCAGGCAGGCTGGGCGGTGGGCATCTGCAGCTTAAGGAGCCAGGGTGGCCGCCCAGGGAGTGCAGAGGAAGGGGCCAAAGTCCAGGCTCAAGCTGGACTTGGGGCTGGGGGAGGGCGGCTGGTGAGGGAGCCACCACTGGAAGGAGCCATGGAGCTCTCAGGCGTGCCCAGGTGAGGACGGCATCCTTGGACAGGGGCCTGGAGGACAGGGACATGGGTCTCATCCTGGCAGCAGTACTACCCTGCTGTTGATGATTCCCGGGGCCACCTTCTGGGTCACCCTCCTTCCTTTGCATGCACAGCCCCTTCCTGCCAACAGCTGCTCTGGGGGAAGAGCTGGCTGCTTGAGGCGCAGGGTCCCAGAGAGCCATCCGGGACATTGGCGAGGGCTGATCACAAAATGACCACAGGAAAAGCCAGTAGGGTCACTTCTGCAGGCCCCGCTGTGCCCTGGTGACTCTGGGCCGAGGCCTTCACAGGGAGCTGCTGTCTGGGGACAACGGCTACTTCCCTGCTATCCCCGCAGGTCCCCCAGGCCAGGTGATGCTGCTCCCTCCAGCCAAGAGCTACTTGCCACCCAGAGGAAGCTAAGCACCGGACATGGCCAGCTTGGGTGGGCAGGGGTGTGGTCAGCAGTAATGGGGCCTCTGGGGGATCCAGGCCAAGTCCCAGTGCAGCGGGGATGGAGCTCCAAAAAGGGTCCCTGCTCAAGGGCACCCTGCCTGGCTGGTGAGATGGCTCTGCTGCCCATGCTGGCAGAGGGCTCCACAAAGCCATCCCAGGGGCGGGGCTGACTGGGAGGAGGTGGCCGTGCTAGCTCTGGACAGGCACAGAAGGGTGAAGGGCTGTGTAGGCAGCAGTCACAGCCTGTGCAAAGGCTCTGTGGTGTCTGGCAGCAGCAGCCCAAAGAGGAGTAGAGACTGGCAGAGGGTGAGGCAGGGCGTGTCCCCCACTCGGGTCATGTGCTGCACATGAGGCCCACAGCTGGACCTCGCTCCTCCTGATGCCACATGGCATCCCTGGGGCAGCTTCTCTGAGCACCGCTCTCCTCTCCCAACACAGGCCAGCCAGCCATGCTGGGCCCCTGGCTCTGAGGCCACCTCAGGACATGGAGGACCTCACCGAGCTGACCCCCACAGAGCCAGCCACCATGGGCAGGGGGCCTGGGAGTGACAGTGACACGGTGTGCAGCACAGCTGTGGGTACGCTGAGCGGAGCAGGTGAAAGCCCCCAAAGGGCAGAGGGAGTAGTTAGGACATGCAGGTGGGGGTTGTCTGAGTAATCAAGGCCGCCTGGGTGCTGTGACAAGTAACTCCACAGGCAGGTGGCTAGGAGAGCCTGCAAAGAAATGGGAACAAAGGCAGAGTCAGGCAGAGATCCCAAGGCAGACAGACAGAGGGACAGAGGGACCAGGGCCTGCAAGCCAGGGTCAGCTTTCCTGCACTGTAGTTTAGCCCATTGGGTTCATCCCAAAATCCAGAGGGCTCAGGGCTTGGGCAGCTTATTGCAGCCCTGCACAAGCAGCTACAGCCTCCTCCTGGGTGGGCTTGGGTGAGGTGGGGTAGGGACAGGGCACCGTGACCTGAGACCTGCTGTGTTGCAGCTGCGGCTCCTGCTGGCACCGAGACCCCTCCTGGACAGACGGCCGCATGTCCTACAGGTGAGCATCCTGTGCCATACCTGGGTGATGGCAGCAGCCTCCTGCTGTGTAAGCGAAGCCCGCTCACAGCACGGCTCTTTGGGGCTGGTGGCTTCTGGCTGTAGCCCATCATCTGTTCACCTGTTGCTGCGGGCATCATCCTAGCAGCCCGGGTGAAAGAGAAAGGCGGAGCCTGGGGTCCCGCAGCCCTCAAGCGCACACCCCTACTGACCTAAGGTCATAAAGGTTTCTGTCAGAGCCACAAGCTGGGGCCAGCCTTAGCTCCGGGGGACACTTGAGGTCCACATTGTGCGGTGTGCGTCCCCTGAGTGCCCGAGTCCCTGCCTGAGCATAGCTGGTGGCTACTGCATGAGATG